GAGAAGAGAAGAGAAGAGAGGTTGGAGAAAGGAGTGGAAGAGCAAAAGAGAATTCAGCAAACGAAGAGCAGGAGGCGATGGTGAAGGAGGACAAGGGTAAACATGTGAGGAAGGAAAGGAACAAGATCCAAGGTGCTGGAGAGGCAAGGAGGGCAAGCAGGAGAACAAGGAAGGGGAGGGAGTGGGAAGAAAAGCAGCAGCAGCAGCAGCAGCAGCAGGTAGAGGAGATGTATGAGCAGAGCGCAGGAGCAAACAAACATTCTCTCACCCACGACAATGTCGATGTGGTAGACTCCCTCCCAGAACTTAACCTCGTTGAAGATCGGCACGTTAAGGCGCTTGAACGTCTCAGAGACTTGAAGGTGAAAGTCAGAGGAGACGGGAGTCTCGATGTTGGCGTGAAGGTTCTTGAGAGCCTCTAGGACCTGTTGAGCGAGCAAGGGGAGATCAGATGCAGACGCATGCCTGGAGGAAGAGGGAAAGGGAGGAGGGGGAAGAGGACGAGCAGGGGGAATAAGTCAAGGAGGGCAAGTAGAGACCCGGAGGGAGAAGCCTGTCCTTCGCTCGTCGTGGTTGAACGTCGCCAGGATGACCTGAAGGGTCAAGTCAGTTGACGTGCTGGAGACTAGCAGCTCCCTGCCTGCCCAAGTTGCCGAAGCTCCTCGATGGAGAACTCCTCCTGCCGTGATGGATGATAAGCAGGAGAGGGAGACGAGGACGAGGACGAGGACGAGGACGAGGACGAGGACGAGGACGAGGACGAGGACGAGGACGAGGAGGGGGCAGTGAGAGTACCAGACGAGCTTCCGACGCTTTCATAAGAGCTTGCAGGAGTCTGCAGGAAAGGTGATGAGAAGAATAAACTAAAGAGGAGATGGTTGAAAAAGGAGACAACAAAGGAAGGGAGGACGTGGACGAGCACGAGCACGAGCACGAGCACGAGCACGAGCACGAGCAGCAGCACCTGTTACCAGACTCTGAGAACCGGTTGAATCTCGAGAATCTGAGAAAAACGATCGCCCATGCGATGTTGGCGAGGTGCAAGGTGGTAAATGTCATGAGATCTCTAGTGAGCACCTGAATATGACACGTGAGCAACATCGCCAACTACCCTCAGCTCAGCTCAGCTCAGCTCAGCTCAGCTCAGCTCAGCTCAGCTCAGCTCAGCTCAGCTCAGCTCAGCTCAGCTCAGCTCAGCTCAGCTCAGCTCAGCTCAGCTCAGCTCAGCTCAGCTCAGCTCAGCTCAGCTCAGCTCAGCTCAGCTCAGCTCAGCTCAGCTCAGCTCAGCTCAGCTTAGCTCAGCTCAGCTCAGCCCTCAGCTCGGCCCTCACCTGCTCCTCCAGGGTCGCGAAGAGTTCTTCTGCCGTCTGCCCGACGCTGGCAAACCTCCACATGTCGTCGGTGACCTCAAGAGGGACAACAGCGCAAGTCTCATCCCTCTCCTCTCTGCTCTCCGCGTACTTGAGGATCTGCTTCACCTGCTCCTCTGCTGCACTGAAAAGACATCGAGCTGTGTGCTGCGTCTTGGCGGCTGCCCACAGGAGGTTCGAGAGTTCCTGCCGTCCTATTAGGACTCTCTCCCCCTACCCATTCCTTGTCTCCCCCCCGCCACCGCCGCTGCCATCTCCCTCCTCCTCCTCCCTCCTCCTACTCCTCCTCCTTCCTCTCCCTTCTCTCTCCCACTCTCTCCCTTCTCTCTCCCTCTCTCTCCCTTCTGCTCTCCCTCCTCCCCCCTCCTCTCCTCCCCCTCCTCCTCCTCCTCTTCAACCCCACCTGAGCTTTGAACATGGTGAGACCGGGGTCAGCCACCCGCAGCTCCTCAAGGTTCGCTCTCAGCTGCTCGTACAGGGAAGGAGCCACGTGGTCTGCCTTGGCGAACGCCCACAGCATGTTGGAGATGTCCTGCGGGGAGAAGAGACGCAGGCCCCGGCGAACGGCCTCTCGCTCGACCTCGCCGAAGAGGAAGGGGAAGGTAAGGCCGTTGCTCGCGTGCGCCCACACCGTGTTGCTGAGCTCCTGCGGTTTGAAGCCCTGCAGGCCACGCACGAGCATCTCCTGCCCGATAACCTGGAAGAGCTTGTCTGAGGCGATGTTGAACTTGGCGAAGGACCAGAGGATGTTGGAGAGCTCCTGGGGGATGAAGGGGCGAAGGGAGCGGTGGAGGATAAGCTCCATCTCGATCCTGTGGAAAAGCTTCTCGTCCTGCACTCCAATCTTGGCGTAGGCCCAGGCCGTGTTTGCGATCTCCTGCGGTTTGAAGTCGGCGAGGCCGCGCGAGGAGATCTCCGACGCGATCTTGAGGAAGAGGTGCTCCGAGCGATGCCCTGCCGTCGCGAACGCCCACACGAGGTTGCTGAGCTCCTGCGGCATGAAGAGCGACAGGTCCCGCGAGGCGATGTCTTGCTCTACCAGCCGCAGCAGCAGGTCCATCGGATAGTCTGCCTTTGCGAACGCCCAGATCAAGTTTGCGAGCTCCTGGTTCTTGAAGGCCGACAATCCCCTCCTCTCCGCGTCTGACTCCACCACATGCAGCAGCTCCTTGGTGCTCTGCCCGACCGTCACGTACGCCCACACAGAGTTTGCCACGTCCTGGGGCACAAACTCTCGCAGCCCTCGCCGGAGGATCTCGAAGGCGAGGAGCTTGAAGACGGTGGGGGAGGAGAAGCCAACCGTCGCGTAGCTCCACAGGATGTTGCTCACTTCCTGCGGCTTAAACTCCTGCAGGCCTGGCACCTGCTCCTCCTCCTGCCCCGTCGAGTCACTTCTCGTCTTCTGGCCCGCGCTCCCCTTCACGAGCTGACTGCTGGCGGCAGCAGCAGCAGCTGCAGCATTAGCCTGGTCCCACTCGGAGAAGCGCTCGAAGATTGGTCGAGCTCTGCTCATCAGCTCCTTCTCGATGTCGACGAAGAAAAGCTTGACTGTGCTCTCGTACCTGAGCCTCTCCTCCTGCGAGCACAGGTTCCAGATCGTGGCAAACGACCAGGCCAGGTTGCTCAGCTCCTGCGCCTTGAAGCTTTCAAGCCCCTTGGCGACGCTGCCCCTGTGCAGCAGCTGGAACGTCTTCAAGTCAGCAAACTGAGCCTTCGCTAGCCCCCACGCGGAGTTTGCGAGCTCTCGAGAGGTCATGTCAGACTCCGACGAGCCGTTGACGATCTCCTCCGCGAGCTTCTCCCCCAGCAGCCGCACCAGCACACCGTAGGGCTCAGAGTTGGAGAGCTGCCTGAAGATGCGCTCGTTGCCCGTCTTGGCGACACGATGGATGGCAGTGGCAATGTTAACCGAGTTGAGAGCTACTCCTCCCTCCACCGCCTCCGACACGTTCCCCAGCACCTGCTCCGCCCTCACGCACTGAGTCAGCCGTGCGTTCAGGCGGATCTGCGGCATCATCTTGTTGTTCTTGCTCCCCCTGTTCCCTCGATCCCACGTGCTGTTCCCTCGCCTCTGGTAGGGCGATGCACCCTCCTGCGCCATGTTCCCTCTCCTCCTCCAGCTGCTCTTCTCGTTCACCTGCTGGTTCGTGCTCCTCAGCCCCGACCCCCTTCCCCTGCTCGCTTGCGTGCGCATCGCAGAGGAAGGGTCGTTGGACCATTTCTGCTGCTGAGGGTGAAAGTTGGACCGCTTCTTCTTCTCAGAAGCCTTCTCTCCCCCTCCCTCCCGCTCGTTCTCGCTCTGGCTCATCACAACCCACCGGATGGCTGGGGCCTCCAGTGTTGGCATGCGAGGGCTGATCGCAACCCGCTGAGTAGGAGGGGGAAAGAGAAGAGGAGGAGAAGTAGGGAAGAAGTTTCGGAGAGGGCGAAGAGGATGGTAGAGGGGCAAGAACGCTGTCGCATCTTGACACATCTCCAACACAACCAAAAGCAAGAGAAAGTACATCACCACCCTCCTCGGTACAGCCAGGCGGAACATCAGTGCTTGATGCGAAGATCTTCCTTGAAGGAAGAGAGGATAGAACCAGGGAAAGCTAGCTCATTCTCCAGCCGTCTGCGATCACAGGACTCAGCCCCTTCGTCTCCCTCCTGCCGTCAACATTTTCCAAGGCTATGCGCAGCTACTCCTCGTTCATTCTTCAGCAGCATCTCTAATCTCACCTGCTTGTTCAAACTGATATCTACTCCCTTCAGCCAAGTGTCCTCCATACCTCTCGCCTTTCAGCGATGGCATGCGCCATCCAACAGATCTCTGTGCTCCTCCTCAACTGCCACACTTTCATTTGTAAAACGCACAGTAATCACTCGAAAGCACTCGAACGGGGTACTTCTCCATCATACTCTCATTATATTGTTCTACTTCAGCATATTCTACTGACATCTCATTCATCACGACCTCCACAGGCCCTCTAGATCCCACGGATAGCACACGTCATGCCTCTGCCTCCCTGTCGCAGTCTTCAACTCTTATCCTCTGCCTGTGCTCGTTCCTCTCTCCTTCTTCCTGTCTGTTTGAGCCCTCATGACCTTCTCTTCATCCCTTCTCCCTCCTCCCTCCTCCCTCCTCCCTCTCCCGCCTCGTCTGCTCATCCGACCATTCCGCCTACATTCCGGGGGCCACGTTCGGAGGGGAACAGGGCGAGCCGGGGACTCTCCGAGGCGGCCGGCCCGCCCCGGCGAGTCACACGCCGTCACCCGGGCCGCTGGCACTGCCGTGACTGGGCAGATGGCAGCCTCAGCGGGGCCGCCGCCGGGCTTACGGTACTCACAGGTAAGTAGTGTAACTAGTCCAAGTGGCGGCCCGGCGCAGCCGCCGTGACACGCCGGCGACGTCGCTGCCGCCGCGGGGGTACTACTATGCTAGGTCCGAGGCTGAGGCGCCCGCCGGCCCGGTACGGTCACTGGCCCAGTGCCGGGGGCTCACCTCAGTACTAGAGCCTAGTGGATGAGTCACTGACCGATTTGAATCCGATGATCTGTTCCGAGGGCGGTCGGCGGCTACGGGCGGCAACCGGCGCCGCACGCGGCACTGCGGCACTGCTTGCTCCTCCGCCGGGCGGCCCGCGCGGCGGTCACGGACGGTAGCCGCTGTGTGCCACGGTACGGCCCTCAGCACTTCGTGTCGGCGATCATCGGATGGCCGCGCGCGGCACTGACTCAGGCTTCAAAATCTGCCAGGACTCGGTAATAGGCGCGCACTGGCCTCAGTGAGTCCTAGCCACGGGCTCCACTGCCAGTGACTGAGTGCCACGGTGACTGAGGCTGGCAGTCCGATCGGAGTGAACATTTTAACTTAACTTTGAGTAAAGAGAACAGGCTCTGGCTGATGACCTTCCTGCGAGCTGAATGAGGGCCTGAGCAAACTTTGTCAGATAGGGTTGCAAATTTTTTGCAGGGGTGGGGGTGATTTCTGTCAGGGTATAGATTCCAAGGGGTACGAGAATACCCCTCATTTTGTAGATTTATTTATGACAAATTTGCGGGTACTGCAAAGAGATCAAACTTTTTACACATTGAGGTGGGTACTTTGTTTCGAAGGAGGGGTCATGGGTACTTGTAAGATTGCACAAGGGTAGGGGTGGCAGCGTCACAGGGGCCGCCGCCATGGCGTTCAGTTTGCGGGGATGGCTTGCAACGATGTTGCTGGGCACATGCTGGATAACAGGTGAGAGAGAATCGTCCATGGCAAAGTAGGGTAGAAGATGCCGAGGAGGAGCTCAGTTAGCCATGAGAGGCGCCATGAGCAAGAAGTGATCAGAGGTGAAGGGGGCAGCACAGGAGTGAAGAACGTAAGGCGAGGGATGATGATCCAGGATGAAGGTCGGGGGGTGGAAGATAGCTAGAGCGATGGAGACCGTGGGTTCGAAGTTTGGGGTTCAAGCTTGCTCGATGTTCCCAGTGAGCATATGAGATGCATGTTGATGCTGTTGCTTTCTACCCGCCAGGTTCCTCAGGCTTTGTTCCCAACTCTGCCAACCCTCTGCTGGTAGCACCAGCTCGAAAGAGCGGCATAACAACAGGTGAGATGGATTCTGTTGCTTCTGGTGTACTAGATCATGTTGGTCTGTTGCTTCTCGTGTACTAGATCATGCCTGGGTTTGCGATCTGACGCTCCCGCCCTCCTTTACGTCAGGCTTCGCCTCCTTCGCTGTGAGCGACCTGTTTGCAAGGAAGAGCAAAATGGTCTCCTGCTCCTCCTGCTCTTCCTGCTCCTCCTGTCCTGCTCCTCCCTTTTCCAGCTTAGATCTTCTCACTTTGCTACCACATCCTCCCCTCTCCTCTAGGTCTTCTTGTCTCTTTCTTCCTGGTATGACCTTAGATCAGGCACCTCCCCTGTCTGTCATGGCGGCCAAGAAGAAGTCTTCAAAGCCCAGAAAGAGCAATGGTGTGTTGATCTCCTCATCTCTCCCCCTGCTGCCCCCTCCTCGCCCTCGCCCTCGCCCTCGCCCTCGCCCTCGCCCTTGCTCTTGTCCTTGTCCTCCCCCTGCCTTTTCCTCACGCTTCATACCCAAGGTTCGAATGGGGGGAACCCGCCCTCTCCAGTAGAAAAAATGGAGGCGGCAAAGATGGCGGCTTCTGCAGCGGAGCGACTAACGTTGTTGGATGATGATGATGAGGAGGAGGACGAAGATGAGGAGGAGGTTGTGTAGGATCATGTCCAGACTCTGATGTGACTTGTTGCTCTATGTTTCAGGTTGTATTGAAGGATCAGAATGCGGAGGGAAGCAAAGAAAGGTTCGTTTCCTGCTCCTGCTCCTCCTCCTCCTCCTCCTCCTCCTCCTGCTCCTCCTCCTCCTCCTCCTCCTCCTCCTCCTCCTGCTCCTCCTCCTCCTCCTCCTCCTGCTCCTCCTCCTCCTCCTCCTCCTCCTCCTGCTTTTGATGAGCGCACTGCAGAATTTCCAAGTTCGACGAGCAAATGAAAGAGGTTCTTTCCCTCTCCTTTTCACGTTTCATCCTCCTCTTGCCCTCCCTTGACTTCGTCCTCTCCTCCTGCTCCTGCTGCTCCTGCTCCTGCTGCTCCTGCTCCTGCTCCTCCTTCTGCTCCCCTTATTCTCGTTCACCTTCTTCTCTCGCCTGTCCTTGTCTATTGTCGCGTTTCCTTTCCGAGATCGCATGTCCTTCCATGTCGTGCTGATAGGTGTTGGCAGGTTGTTGCAAAGCGAAAGTCGTCAGAAGAACTAGACGTCAGAGGAACGAGGTCAAGAAATGTGCCATGTTATCATCAGCATGATCGTGGTGGTGGTGGTGGTGGTGGTGGTGCTCCTGCCTCCTCCTCCTGCTCCTGCTCCTGCTCCTGCTCCTGCTCCTGCTCCTCCTGCTCCTCCTGCTCCTCCTGCTCCTGCTCCTCATCATCATCATTCTACTGCTCCTTTGCTTCCTCGGTTTGGGTCCTCACTTTGTGCGTCTTCATTGCAGACTTCCGACAAACCCCAGCAGAAACGCGCAGAGCAACAAGCTTGACGAGCTCGACCAGAGGATCAAGGCAGCTCTGAGGGTGAGGGTGAGGAGGAGGGGGGCGAGAGAGTGTTGGCGAGGGAGGCAGACGAGGAGGGGAGGGGAGGAGGAGGAGGAGGAGGAGGAGGAGGAGGAGGAGGAGGACGTTGAAGTGAGAGGGAGCAGGAGGGCACCGTGAAGGATTGGGAGCGGAGGGAGCAGTAGACAGAGCAGAAAACTCTCTTGCTCCTCCTCCCTCTCCCACCCGCTTGACCTTCCTTGTCCTGGTCCTGCGTATCGTCAGCAGCAACGTTGGCAGGATCTCATTTGAGTACAGGGAGAGCCGACGGAGAAGAAGAAGGAGACCAAGATCAAGACCGAGACTGGAGAGGAGGTGCCCTTACTCCGTCCTCCTCCCTCAACCATCCCTCCTCCCTCTCACCACCCTCCTCATCGCCGTCCTCGTGCTCGTGCTCGTGCTCGTGCTCGTGCTCGTCCTCGTGCTCGTCCTCCTCGTGCTCGTGCTCGTGCTCGTCCTCCTCGTGCTCGTGCTCGTCCTCGTCCTCTTTCTCCTGCTCGTCCTGCTTGTCCTCGTGCTCGTCCTCGTGCTCGTGCTCGTCCTCGTGTTCCTCCATCAGCACTCTCTCTCTCAGCTCACGGTTTCCCAGCTTTACCTCACTGAGTTTGCGCCTGGCGCGTCGATTTCTCCCTTCGCCCTTCCTAAAGACCTCGACGACCTCTACATGCCCCTGCCCTCCGAACTTGTGGCGAAGGTGATGATGATGATGATGATGGTGATGATGATGATGATCATCATGATGATGATGATGATGATGATGATGATGATGATGGTGGTGGTGATGATGGTGATGGTGATGATGATGATGATGGTGGTGGTGGTGATGGTGGTGGTGATGATGATAGATATTCAGATAAGAATAGACATGAAGATGATGATGATGAGAAGGATGAGGAGGAGGAGGCAGACGAGGAGGTGGTGGGGGGATCGCGAGAGGAGAAGGGAGTGAAATTGGTCGAGGTCCTA